CCAGCCTAATATTGTCTGGCAGCCAGACCAGCCTTGTTGGTCTAAGCTGTTTTTTTCAGCAGGGACAATCCCACAGAAAACAGATATGGTTGTCTTATTTCAGATTCTGTGGGTTGGTATTCACACCCATTGCCGCACAAGCACTGAAAAGTTCGTTTTTATTTTTGTCCCCTTTAATATTTGTGTAGGGTGTTTAAAAAATACAGTTTCTCACGAAGTGTCCCAGATACTACACTGTTGCCCATAAAGTCAGAATAAAATATGTTTTAAAAGTGTATATCTTCTCAACCCTTTATGGCTCATTCTCTTCCAAGCATATCACAGTGAACATTAAATAGGAATAAAAAGAGGGAGGTGTCTGAAATCTGAATCATTCTAACTGTATGGGCAACAGTGTATATAGCAACACAAAAGCTTTACATAAATGAAAACAGATATCATGGTGCATCTACTGACCAAGGACATCAGGAGGACCATTATTTCATGTTGTTCTCACTTTTTTCCCTCATTTTCTGTCTGATCTCTCACCATCTACTATATAATTAGGGCAAACATACCTATGAGTCTAAAAAGGTGAATGATGAAAATGTTGCTAAAAGTGTGTGGGAGTATTTTGTCCAGAAGAACAAGCAGAGGAAACAGCATTAAAGTGCACCGCTGATTTGAAGATTAATGAGTAACTTTGTATGTTACCCCTCTGAGGTTAATGTTCTGTTGAATCTTGCAGGTAATACAGCCGGCTGAGCACAAAGGAAATTACCTTTCATTGGTTGAAGACTGCTATGATCGAAACTATTGCTTAGATGTTAATAGATATGTTCATAGGAAGGAGTGTGTGTGTGTGTGTGTTGCAATCACTCACAGAGAGAGAGAGAGCGAGAGAGAGAGAGAGTTCTTACAACACCAGTAGGCACTCCTTCCTACTTTATCTCCAGCCCCATTTCTCTTCAACGCAAGGCAAATAAAGCAGGTAAGAAGCATTTTTTTAAATTGACATCCAAATGATTTGAAGCAGCTTTTTAACACAGACTTTCAAACAGAGATAGATCTTGAGTCCTTAATGTATTCGTTAATGTAGATTATGGGCTTTTAATCAGATAACCACGGCTGCCATCAGTAACTTAGGCACAGGTAAGTGGTTCTGCTACTGTGCGGAGGCTAAAGAGGAGTGTTCTCATTCCAGCTGCATGCAAACAGGCCCGGTCTAGATGTATATGCTGGCCCTGAGGCCGCAGAAGAAATATAGGAGATGACTTTCTCTGTGATGATTGCTGCTAATACAACACCTGACACAAGTCCTGCAAGTCTGTGTATGTGAATGCTTGTATTGTGGGGACTAACACAACATAGAGGTCGTGCACATCCAAAAACCGCAGGGGCTGGATTTATGTCAGACAGAAATTAAAACATTATCAAAGGTCCACACAAAGTAGCTCACTCAAATGCAGTTTATTTGCACATCCAAACAAGATTTGAGGCTACATGCTCTTATTGCGCGTTGGGACTCAATTGAAAGTCTTCAGGGTAAATATGTGGTAGTAATGGTTATGGTTCTCAGCAATGAAACCCGTGGCAAACGGAAGGAAGTCTGTGGGTTGTCGTGTGATGTTGACATCAGTCTGTTTATGTTTAAGACAGACATTTGAAATGCATATGCAATCATGCATGTTACATAAATCATACAATAAAAAAGGTGTTTTAATTTTGTGACATTTAATATTTTTTGTCAAATTTCAGAAAAGAAAACAAATCTTTGCAACTGTATCATCAAAAAATGTTTACTGTGTTTCAGCGCAATACCTCAATGGCCAATATGAATGGGACTGTCCATGCAGGAATCAGCCCCAACACCAGCAACTCATGGCAGGTGGAGGCAGTTAGGGGCGTCCAAATGGCAGCTACTCTGGTTATCTTCCTGGTGAGCAATCCTTTAATAAAACTGTACACTACTACTGCACATAGCGCTGGAAAACACTGAATAAGGGGCTGCTAAATAGGAAAAATAATAATAGTTTCGATAATCTGTTGATTAGGAAGTTTGCAGGTGAGAAAACAACATGCTCACTAGAGTGTGATTTGCAAACTTATTCTTGTATGTACTGTATGTGTTTTTAAATTAAGAGTTAGATGATGAGTTGATGATACCACTCTCATATCTGTACAATTAATATGTATTAAAAAAGATCAAACTTTTCCTTGTTCCGCATCAGCTCATTTCCATTTGGAGAGTCTATTTCTTGGAGAGAGGCAGTCATTTCCTGGAGTTATTTTTAATGCTAAGTAAAGCTTAAAGGCTGTAGGTTTCGATGACATGAGAGTGATGTCGATATTTTTGTAAAATGAAATAAAACAAACAAGATTATTCCCTGTATTATGTCTGTTACTCTAAGGCTTTCGTCCTAAATGTGCCTGGTTTTCGTGGTGTCTCTAGGTTGGCGTTCCTCTGAATGGGCTGGTGGTTTGGACACTTGGACTGCGGCATAATCGTCACCTGGCACGCAGAGGCAGCTGTGAGGAGACACGTGCTGCCAGCAGTTTCAGGATTTATGTCCTGAACCTAGCCCTGGCTGACCTGGTGCTGCTCCTGCGCACCCCCATAATGTTGGGCTTCGTGGCTCACAACTACAGCTGGCCGTTCGGCCTCGTCTTCTGCCAGCTGGTCATGTTCCTGCGAGGCCTGGGCTTGTACGCCTCTGCCTTCCTCCTCTGTGCTGTGGCCCTGGAGCGATGCCTGTGTCTGCTGAAGCCGATGTGGGCTCGCCTGCGACGCCCCTCCTGGGCTGTTCCTCTGGCCTGTGGCCTCATATGGCTGTTAGCCACCATCTTCTCTGCCCCCTACCTCCTCACTGCTGTGCTGACCGACTTTAACGGGACACTCCATTGCAGGGAGAGCGGGAACTTTGACATGGGGCTGTTTGTCACAGAAACAATAGCAGGTTTCATCTTGCCCCAGCTGGTGTTCCTGGGAAGCAACCTGGCTGTTGTGCTCACCATTCAGAAAGCAGTGCCCTTAACACCGACATCCTCCAGCCCTTCCAATGCCCGCAGGATGACCAGAATGTACCACGTGCTCTTTGCCACCATGCTCCTCTTTCTCACCTGCTGGGTACCATATTTTGTTTGTCGGTTCCTGCAGGGCTTGTCCGTGGGGCACCCTGACCGATTGACACTGTATAGCCGAGCATCTTGGGGCGTATACGTATCTCTGTTCCTGGTGTACATGAAGTCCGCTCTCAACCCGGTGCTGTACGTGTTCGCTGCCCGAGGCTTAAGTCGTGCCATCAAAGCTTCAGTTGTCTCCACCCTAGAAAGACTTTTCAATGATGACTCTTCAGAGTCATTTCGAAGGAAGTCACTTAAGAACTCTCTTAAAAACTCACAGATGTAGCCAGGATGTCAAAAATGCATTAATGTTGTAGTTTTTATATTAAAACCAGAAATGTCTTTGGTTTTTGTAAAATGAGAAATCTCTTTACTGGTGGGTTTCTCCATTTACTCATACCCACCTAAATTGAGTTGTGTAAATAAGACAAAGACAGTTTTTAGGTTAAGTTACTGTTAACCAATTAGCCACGGCAAATGGACAAATAAGTCAACAGCATTAATATTACACTCCTTGTATGTAAATATGTGATCTTGATAGATTTGACCATAAGAATAATTTCAATTTTTTTCTAATGTCAAAAGCAATTGCGTTTTTTTAACTTTATTTTGATTAAAATAGTCTTAACTGGGTCATAGTTTAATTAGTACCACATCTCAGCTCCTCATGAAACAAACTTTTCCTGGAAAGGTGATTCTTCCTCCTGGTTTGATTTAAATTCTTGGATCAATGGTTCCAGAAACTGATTTGAGATTTCAGAGACAGAGAGCGTATCTCCCAGGATTTGACAAATAGGAGCGATACATCTTTCATCAGACACTGACACAAGCCTGGTTCCTCAACTGTCAGCTGAGAACAAGAAGATATATGACTGCAGGTGTCATCAGTGAAAGTACATGACTGAAGACTCCAGAAATGCTGCTTCTGTTGCAGCACGCTGAAGGCAGGGTCATAATTGGGCATAAAAATGAATTCATGAATCATCTTGTCGATTAGTTTCTTGGGCAGGGAACACTTTGATGGTAAATAACGAGCCGAATGAACCCAGGATTATTTCAATGCCAATTTCCTAGCCCCAGGAGAGTCTTTGTTAACCTTTGGATTCCTCCAAGATGACTCACCGTTAAGCTTGCTCATACTACCTCTGCTATGTTTCAATGAATGTTATCTTATCAGAATCAATATTGAGTCAGATCCATCAACATGATCACCTCCTGCTCTATAGACTAAACACCTCATACTGAGCAGGACGTGAACATGTTGCAGGAAGATCCTCTTATGGTGAATGCACCACTAACATGTCTGACTTGACTTCAGTTATTCACAGATAGCTTTATGTGTTTTTTGTTAAAACTCTCCTATATTATATATTCTGTTATTGTTGACAAAAGGGATGAATGGTCATGCTTTAAATGTGTTTAATTCCTACATTAAAAATATTAAAGGTCCCCTATTATACTGTTTTTCATCAATATATTATAGATCTCAGATATATACAAAACATGTCTCTGAAGTGTTTGGCTGAAATACCAAACAGATTGTGCATTGCAGCATCCCATAAACCCCTCTGTTTCAGCCCTGTTTCAAAAGTGCTGATTCTCTGTCTGTTACTTCAGATGAAAATAAGGAGCCACTCCCAACGCCCCTCTGAGAGATATTTGGTTAAAAAGAACACAGTGTGCTCTAGGAGGAGATGCAGGTGAAAGGGTGGGCAGGTGTTACCTTGGTTGGTGATTGGCTAATGGTTACACAAGACAAAAAATCATGACGACATCATAAAGTGGCCAAAATCTGATCAGCTCATTTTCAGACAGGTTTTTATATAAATGGATCAGGACAAAAAGTGAGTGAATCTTTTTTCCTGAAACTTTCAGAATCTCTTTACACAGAGGGGACACATGTTTATGTATACAAGACATGAAAAAGTGGATTTTGCATAATAGGTCCCCTTTAATGAACAAAAGTAAATTAGATGTTTTTAACATGAACTCGTGTCTCTAAGGTTCTGATTATGGACATCAAGTCACTCTTTATTTGCCGTTACAGTATTTCTTTAATGAAGTTTATGTGTTCTGTTATTTAGGCACAAACGATGAATAAAAAGAATTTGGACTTTCTATGAAAAAAAAAAAAACGCAAAAATGCTTCGACAGCGAATTCTTTAAATAATACTGCACACTTCGGATGGGGAATGGTTAAGGTGTATACCACATAACCGCAAAATGATTCTATTCCGGTTTCAATGAAGACTTTAGATGCATATCATGCCTCCCCATCTCTCCCCGTTTCCTCTCTGACTCTGTACTGGCAGCTTCACAATAAAGACAAAATGTTAAAGAAACCTTATGATTTAGTCTGCAGGTGTTTCTCTCTTTGTGTAATGTTTCCATTGCTGCCAGTTAGACTTTTTTCTAGTTCTTCACATATTTGCCACATTTTTTGCGCCACGTTATTTTTGCAGGTGTTTAACCACCACAAAAGGTAGAACTGAGTAATATTAGCACAGGAAAAATAATGCGTACACACTTCTTCTTCTTCTTACATGTATAAATATCCTTAACATTTCAGACCTGTCTAAGAAGACGGTGCACTACAGATGTGGGCGGAGCCAGGGTTGAACAGCTGATTGGCTTGTCTCTGTGCCTGCAGAAGAAGCGCTTGGGTACCCTCAGTGGTCTCTGATTCCTGCAGGATTTCTCCAAGTTTGCGGGCAGTGGCTTCACAGTCACTTTCTGGTATAATTTTTCTCAATCGAGCCTGAGGAAAACCAAAACATGTGGCTGTGTGATTTTGTTTAAACGATATGTATTAAGACAGTTTTGTAAAAATGTATCTCTGACGCAACAGAAGCACAATTGTTCTCTCTCTGCATTTCGTAAGACAGATTTCATATCTTGTTGCCCAACACAGAACATGTTAAGACTTTCCTGTAGCATAGAGAAGTGCCCACTCAGACATTTTTGACAAAGTCTTATTCAAAGGAAAAAGTTTCAAACAATGAGTGACGCTTGTGAAAACAGCTATTGTGCAACAGGAACAAGTCAAAGCTGATGCTAGATTTCATGAATGTGCTCCCCACCCTTGCTCACCTCTAATGTTGATTGATCTTTTTGTGGAGGGAGGAAGGGAAGGTTGAGATTTGCTTGTTCAGCTATCTGTTGGATCTGCATGAACACAAAGAAGGAGAATTGGACTGCATTAGAAAAGGTTTACATATTTGTATCTAATAGATGAGGCGAAGGAAAAAGACATGCTGCAAATCTCTGCTTTGTTATATTCTATAGAGTATATCATAAAAACAGATCTCACACAGTCATTTCCTCTGGTTAATGCTAACACCCATTGTGTCAGCTTCCACAGAACAGCCACATTTCAACATGCTGTTCACTTCTGACCGACAGGCTGATGTTAATATGGAGAAATGCAGTTAACCACTTGTTTTTCTCCGTCACCTATTTTACTGAAACAGCCAAATTAATGTTGTAATGTTTTTTTTTGTTTAAATGTCTTTGTACAGCACTTGGGGTTAATAGTGCTATATTACATCAGATGTAACACTGTAGGCCAGAAGTTGGATGGATAAAAAGGAAGCAACACCAATAATCTCTCATTTGTGTTTCAATAACAGCTGAAATGATTTGTGGATTGTCAGAAATAAAGTTAGCAATTATTTGTGATTCATAATTTCAATCATTTTTCAAGCAGAAATAGTGAAACAGTATCTGAATGCAGCATCTTATAATCAGAGGTTTCCTGGTTTTCTTTGACACAAAGCATTGTAAACAAATTTTGGGGCCATTTGGCATTTTAGTCAAACAAAACAAGTCGTTTGATTCTGTGAACTATACAATTGTTCCATGTGTAAGACTAGGGTATTATATATTAATAAAAATAAAACATCTGCAGATTAATCGATATGAATAAAAATCAGTTGCTGCAGCTCCAGTTTCATGCCTTCAAATTAAAACAATAAGGAATTCTTAGCTGCTTTAAAGGGGACCTATCATGCAAAATGCACTTTTTGATGTCTTTTATACATAAATATGTGTCCCCGGTGTGTCAGGGAACTCACGCAGCGTCAGAAAATAAAACCCTCTCTCTTTTCCTCCGTACCCAAATCTCTAAAAACGGGGGTACAACGGAGCTGATCCAGATTTGCGTCCGATATGACGTCAAATCGGCGGACCCACAGCACTATCAGAAACGTTGCTATCAGAAACAATGCCCGACTGTTTTGGACATAATATGGTCGGTGTTTACATTAGCATCGCTAACACTCAGAGCTAACCTGTACTGGAGAGCATGTGTGTGAAGAAGCAGGAAATAAAAAGGAACTCACCTTGTGGTATAACCGGCAAGAGAGAAAGCCTTTGAGCTCCATACTGTTTCAGAAATAATCCATGATATGGCGTTTCATCACGGCAGTATTTAGTTTAGACAGTAGCTGCCGGGCCCCGCATGAGCTCAGCCCCCTCCTTTTTTTTGTATCAATTTTTTTTTAAAAGCTTTATACCCAAAATTAGCACTTTTGAAACAGGAAGTGAAATAGAGCGATATGAGGCATGGCTAGAACGGGTGATCTGTTTGGTATTTTGAGCAAAACACTTCATAGACATGTTTTTTATATATCTGAGACCTATGCTATTGCCTAAAAATAGCATGATAGGTGCACTTTAAGTTAGTAACAATGAGTTATAGAATAAAGAAATAAAGATATAAAAATAACACCGTCTTTTTACAGCTCAGGACACAAAGACATTTCATAAAATAAAATAAAATACATCTGTATGCTGGCACCTCTTTAGCTTTCTCCTCCTCCTCCTCCTCCCTCAGCAGGCTGCATGTGTTCTCCAGAGAGTCGGCCTGCTCTTCCCTCTTCTCCAGAGCACGGACCACAGATCTCAGGTTTTCCTGAAAACACAACAAGACATCATGTAACGCAATAACAGACATTTACTCATTTATATTTCAGATAAATGAATGCACTGAAATACTCAAACATTATGTATTTTCAAGGCAGATGGACGACATTGCAGCTTTTTTAAATGCTTTAAGGTTTATTGCATATAGGACTGAAGCTTACAATTATCTTCATACATGATGTGATTATTTATTCCATAATTAATTTATAATTTAGTCAATAGATAGCCACAACCTATTTAAAAATGACCCTCCTTGCATATCCCAGTGAGGTAAACTAGATTAGATATCAAGAGCTGAACATGTTTTGCTTTTTTTAATTCTTTAAGAAATAACTTGTAATGCTGTCCATGTATTTCCAATCAAACATATACATCAACTAATAATTTCAGCACCAACTGAAATGTAAATTAAGGTTTACATTTTTTAAATATTCCAGCCTCTTCACCAGACTCCAGTGTTTCTCACCTCCACTGTGCTCAGGGTCGTCTTCCCCACCCCTGACTTCTTGGCCTCCTCTTGGTGGCTCTGAGAAAAACGCTCCAAATCATTTTGTTTCTGCACTGGAACTTTGAGCTCTGCACATTTAGCAAGAAACCTAAAAAAAAGTTAGGGAAATATGTAACCTGTAATTACAAGATACCAGGCACATGAAATTCGTTTTTATCCTTATTTCAGAATACTTTCTCACCTGCTTTTAATTATGTTTAGATGTTCCCGGCTCTCTTTCTTCTCTTTCCGCCTCAAAGCAATAGTTGCTCTGGGAAAACAGGACAAGAAGATAAAGATGTTGACCATTTTTTCTGCTGTATTTCAAATGCCTCATAGTCTTTAGGGGGAAATGGCTGGCTTCAATTATTATTATAGGTATATTACATTACATGTTAGACGCTTTTATCCAAAGCGACTTACATACTCAATACTGTGGCCAATCCCCACAGGAGCAATTTGGGGTGAAGTGTCTTGCCCAGGGACACAACGACATGCTGATTGCAGTGGGGTTTGAACCTGTGCTCCCCTGATCCGAACACCAACGCACTAGTCCACTGCACCACAGCCTCCCCTAGCTATATATTTTAAGCTGATACCTATCCCACCTTTATCAATATTTGAAAGTTTAAAAAACTTAATGACAATTAATCAACTGGTTATCTCTGGCTAACACATCATGTAAAAGGGGACATTTTTTCTAAAAAACCTCATAAATAGTTGGCATTTCTGTACTTAAATCTATTGTTAATCGAGTTGTCACTAGGCTTATTCTTCACCAATACTGACATGCCGGCAACAAACTGGCCCGTTTATCAATATAACTCTAGGCACAATAAATAAACAAAACAATGTAAAGTTAAAATATGTCTCAGACTGTAAACCATAACTGATAACTATTGATAAAATCTATAATTGATTGTGTACTTCAATCAATAGTTTTTTTACATGTATACCTTACAAAGTGGCCCGAGTCTATATACCGAAAATAAGAAAATACTACTTTTTAAGGGTAACACTCAGGAGTAGTAAGCTGTAAAACAACACAGTGAAAAGTGAAACTCACAGTATGGACAAATCCATCATGTTTTCCAGAGCAATGATGGAGGATGCTGGCATCGGCCTCCACTTTTCCTCTCCTTTGACTTTGTCAGGGACTGAAGGTGAGACCTCAGCTATTTCAGGACACAAACAGGAACAACACAATGACAAGAGAAAGTAACAACATTGCATTAGGCTTGCTTTGTGGGCTGAAACGTATTTATATTCAACATCTGAAGAGACATGACATCACATTGTGCTATGAAGGGTTTTTCTAACCTTTCCTCTTCTTGGCTGCTTTTGGCTGGGTGCTCTTGCCATTGGGCTTTGGGTCCTACACAAACATTGTTGACGTTAACAGGAGGCTGCAGACAGGAGCCAACATCAGCTGGAGTATTAACTGATCTTACCTGATTCTCTGCTGATTGTTGTTCCTGGTCAGGTTTTTTATTTTTCTTCATGTTAGGTGCTTTTGAAGAGGCCTGGTTAGAGCCTCTTAAAGGCTTCATCTCTGCTAACGTGAGCTAGCTTAGATCACGATGAAGTGAATGTAAAGCTAATGTAACGTTAGCTGTTATAGCGTCTGGCTAGGCTAACGTAAATAACAATAGCAACATTAAAACGAAGTTCCCTTGTTGGACAAATGAATACCTAATACTTGATATACAACTTTATACAAATGAAATCGTAAACTGGACTTGTTGTCATCAGCTGAGGCACTTTACCGCGCTGCTGTTTTCGAACAGGTTAGCACGTAATGCGCATGCGTCAATGGTGTGCTTTTTCTCCCCAGAGTTCAGACTGACAGGCAGCTATTCATCTTAGGCTAAGATGTCATGGCCTAACTAACACAACATTTTAAGGCATCATATTCACACTATAATTTTTATTGTATGAATCATACAATGGCTAATACAGCAGACTTCTTTGAGAAAACAAAACCCACATGACAAAGGTCCCATCCCATCTCCTACATAGGAACAAGACAAGTTTTTTTTTCAATTTGTGTCTCTTTGAAATTGTCTTGGTCTTTTTGTTGTTATGTTTGTTTGTGATTGTTTTGCCCCTTTTTGTAGTCCGTTTTTTTATTTTTTATTTTAACAGTGGTCATGAGTCTGCTTAAACTTCCTTAGTAGTTGTTGTATGTTTCTTTGCGGTTATTTAGAATATTTTCCTGGTTGTTACCATAGAGGTTGTTTTGTCTCTTTGAGTGACATTTTGTAGGTGAAGGACCAGTAGGTTCCTTCAGTAATCCATTTATGATCCCAGCATGGTCACAATGTCAGGACTCAAACGCCTATTAAGTTAACGCTGGGCATAATAAACACAATGCCGCAGTGTATTGAAAACATTGTATGTTTGAAGAATGTTTTCATTAATGAGTTTTGCTTTAATTTCTCAGACAGCAGGTTCATGCAGAGTTGTTGCAATATGTAAATGTTGATATTGACCTAGCTAAACCATCTTTGAATACCAGATAAGTGTAAAATATTGTTAGATATTGATGCTCCCTGCTCAAAATAGATTTAAAATTGTGCCAAATATTATTATCATGCATATATTTTACTCCATATACTCTATTTACATTATTCCAGCAAAAGAACAATTGGAATTTCACACTCACCCTTTAATTACTTGTTAAACCATACATAAAAACAGGTATTTTTCAGTGACAGGAGATTTATTTTCACTTCCGTTTCACACCTTTTTTCAGCAGATTACACATAAAGAGCTTTAAATTAAAATTGACAAAATGCGATTGAATTATTTAGTTTATTTCTATTTTAAAGCAGGAAATTAAAGAAATATCCCTTAGACAAATGTCAACTCCACTAATACCTGTGTAAAAAAACAAAAATTAAGGAAGATTCCCAAAATTGACTGAATATTTAGGTCTGGATGGTAAACGGTATGACAGACACTGCAGCCATGTATGTCCCTCAGGTCTGTCACACCCTCCATGGGAGGTGAAATTTGCCTGCAAAGCGTCCGTTGTGGCACAGGTCTTTGGGGCTGAGCACTTTCCTGATCCCCAACATGTTGCCTAGCGTTATCTCCTTGAAGGTCCAGGGATTCTGGTTGTTCTGCTCCATATCAGCATGCTTCTTCTGAAAGGCTGCTAGGCTCACTCTGCTAAATACCTATAGGAAGTCCACAAAACAAAGAACAATGGGTTGTTTTTAAGAATTTACTGATACACTCCCTTTGGCTTTTTGATACTTTATATGGATCCTCAAGTGTATTTATGCTTGAATAATGTAAGCGATAAACAAAGAAAGCAACATTGTGTTTAAATGTTCTTTAAATTATCTCTGTAATCTTTTTAGGAGTCTTCTAGTATATAGATACAACCCTATATGGACGGATCCCTTATCAAGATCTTCATTGAGGTATGATTTATTGCAGACTTGTTGTATTTCTGCATTTGTTTTTAGCAAAGTATAACTAATCGACTGGCAGCTGTTTATATAAATAAAGTATGATTCAACAAAATATGCTTTTGAAAAAAGTGCACAAACAAAGTTAACGGATATTCTGAAAGTGAATGTAAGAGTGTATGTCTGAAGTTCAGTATATACAGTATCAGTCATCTCACCTCGGCCTTGAAGGGTAGCTTTTGTGCCACTTCAGTCATGATACGCTGAATCTCTCCAAGCTCCACCTTTCCTCCGACTTCCACAATAAAGCGGCCGTAGCGCACAGGTGTCACGTATCGGTCGATGGCTCCCTTGCCCCCGCCCATGCGCATACCCAGACCTTTACGTGTGACAGGCTTATATGGGCCATTGACACGCCAACGGGCAAATGTAGTCTTGGGATCCATCTTGCGATTGATGGTTAGACGGATCATCTCTATGTGACCCCAATGAAGGTAGCCTCCTCCCATGGCCTGAGCATAAGAGAGAGACAGACAAGAGGGAGGTCACTTTTTCATGGTCTAAAAAAAAGTATGTATTATTCTCTTGGCATTAGGTGCATAAAATAATACAAATACACATGAGTATTGAGTACATCTTTTGTTATATAGTATTTTTTTTAAACTTTGCATAAGTATATAGTTACATACTTTTTGTGAAGAAGAAAGCTAAGTAAAAATAAACATTATTTTACGTTGTATAATACGTTGAAATAAGTGCCATTAAGAACCTGCTTATACTGTATACAGTTACACAAGGTTAAATAATAAATTCAAGTAATAAAATACTGCAGGTTACATGATCTTCATATGCTTGAATGCCTTAAGCCCTGAGCCTGTTTTTCAGGTCTCAGGCTCGAAAATGACATTCCCAGAACAAATAACCATATCTTAACTTCTAAAAGGGTTAAATTAATAATCTTTTTTCTCAAAGCAAGGTTACATCTGTGAGTTGGATGTAGAAGTGTCAGAATCAATATAGATGTTTTTATTTTAAAGTAAATTCAGATTGAACATAGTAAAAAAATGTAAATTATAGTGTCCGTCCAAAAAAAAAAATTACTTATAGTGAAAACCACCCTTGAATTATGGGATGGTAGACTAAAAGCTTTAGGAATCCAAACTACAACATATAATAAGTACCCTGTATCAAGATTGATGCAAAACAAGTTAAATTTGACATTTTTAGAGAGATTTAGCAAAAAAAAAACACTTCTGGGGTCATTTGGGTGGATTTTCCATATCTCTGGCCCTCCTTGGTCGATTTTGATGATTGACATCTCCTTTTAACCGTCAGAGCCAATGGAATCGAGGGGAACTCCCACATACAGGTTTAAGCAGCTGCAGATATCAGCAGTCTCTTAACATTAAATCCACTCACCACAATAGCAAACTCTCCCTTAGTGAAAGTATTGGCTGCCGTCGCTGGGCCTTGGATATCCTTCAGATTCTTCATCGCTTTCTTGGCGTTTTTAAAGTTAGGCATCTTGTTCAAAAACTTCAGTTTGCGTCTGTCTGGCAGCACCACCTCTTTAGAGGAAAAAACAAGTGAGGAATTATGAACATTTTCATAGTGCATCAGGCAAGCATGTCGATGTAAGATTTTAAAAGTCCAAAGACTGGAGCAAGGACAGATAACTACTGTATGCATTATTGTGTAAATATAACAATGTCCTAATGTAGAAACTAAATGATTACCACTGTGGTCTGGAGGAATTTCATGTGTCTTCAGGCCAGCAGCCAGGACTTTCAGGTGGCCGTGTAAAAGACCTGTGGAACAAACAGCAGATTACAGAACTGTAATTTATTACTGCTAATAAATAAATAAATAAATACTACTGCTCAGTTCACATGTGCTTTGGAAAAACGTCAAGCCAAACCTCAGCCAGAGAGAGAAAAACTGTAGCAATTTTATTCGTTTTTCTCTGATATTTCCTATTTGAATAGAACAAGACCCATTTGAAAGTACAATTATTTTGGACTTTTAGACGTAACTGTGTCTAAATTGTGTTTTTAAGTAGACTGTTGTTAATATTGGTCCCCTTCATTCATCTCTAATTTCTCTATGTACTGTAGGCCTACCTGTTTTAAAACCACAGTGAAAACTGTTTTCACTTTATAAATGTCTTAATATATATAAGTATAATTAGCTTTGCTCTGTGTTGGTAGTTGGTTGTGCCTTAATTATTGCTCTTCATTCTGATGCTCTACCTTTACAAATGTTTTCAAATAGTTTTGAAAATGACTATAACACCTGTGCAAAAACTATGAGTTTAAATATTGTACTCGCTTACTCTGAAATATACAGCTTAAGTGCACATGCTTACGGACTATGTGAAACAAACCAATGAATATGCATATAAACATGTCATGCCTAATAAAGACCAGACATTAGCTTGTTTTGTTAACTTCTAACGCAATAAAGGAAGAATTAACACATGAACTGAGCTGACTTGTTACCTTGCTGGTGACCGTTCACTCGACACAAAGCAGTCAATCCGCCGACAGCAGCCTTTATGATGGAAAACATGATATTACCCTTTGAATGGACACTATAAACACCAAACTGTCACTGTGTGTGGTCGATATAAGAGCATTATAAGGTGGTAACTCATTAAAGCATTGTTAACATCACGCTCTGTACAAGGTCGCTGCCATTGCTGTGATGCTGCTTCTTCTTCTTCGGTTTGAATGCAACCAATAGTTGCATGTCGCCACCTGCTGTACGGAGTGTGTAACATCATGTCTTTATAACTAAATTAAAACAAAACCAACATATTAAAAACACTCAAATCCAAATCCAATAGGGGGGACCTACTTGTTCAGCCTAGTATTACAAATCTTCGTTGATATGGAGTGACATGACACAGGAAAAAAAACCTTTAGATAGAGAATGCTGAATTTTCAATAAAATATTCATATCAAATGTAAAAGACACTAAAATCTAAAGGTATGTCGTCCAGTGCAGTATTACAATGATGCATTTATATGGAATCACTTAGTCACATGATACATTGAAGCTATTGTAAAAACAAGACTTCTATATTGGAGTTTCAATAAAATATTAAAATAACCCCCACTTATATCCAATTAAAATATCTGTGTCCTACTAGTCCAGTGTTGAAACACAATGCTGCATTGATTCAGATTCCCTTGGTCAAATGAAAAAAAAGCTATTGAAGAAAACAATACTTTAAAAATCATGTCTAAACACCAGGGGAATATTTTTTAGGTGTGAAATTGAAACACCATAAGTTGATGTACAGTTTCATGTTTATTAAAATGGGACGGATTTACAGTTTGTACACTCCATCCACATTGG